ATCTATTGTGACAAATGTACCACGCTGGTGGGGGATTTGATAGGGTATATGGGAACCTCTGTACCTTCTGGTCAATTTTGCTGTGAACTTCCAAGTGCTCTAAAAAATAAAGTCTATTAAATTTTTTAAAATGTAAGTTGTGTTAGTGAGGTAGGTTTAAGGGTAATATTTTTCATTTTTAGAAAGTCCATCATCCTTTGCAATAAACACACACACACACACCATGGTGATATCGGGACATCCAAAGCTTTTATTTATCATGGGCAAAGCCTCTGTATATTTGCTTTACAATCATTAACGCATTTTTGTCTGTACTATTCAGTCCTATGAATCCCTCACGCAAACATCCAGGGCCTTTTTGGGCAGAATAAGAAGCCAGGGAGAACTTTCCATTTAGCAGGGAGCAGTAGGTACCTCACTGTTTCAATTATTTACCCCTGGAAATATTTGGCGACCACCACCCAGGAACTAGAACCTTCCGCTGAAGGGAGAGGTCTCTCTGCCTAGCCCCGACATGGACCCGTGTATCATTCTGGGCCCCAGAACTGCTTTGTGGGTGGGGGTGCTTGCAAGGTCCTGGGGTGTCCCAGGAGAGGTCACCAATTAATAGTGCTTTCTGTTTCAGCTCCAAGACTTTCAGGTGACATCCATCCTGGGGACCAAGGTAGAGGTTCTGAAGGAGTCGGAGAGTTTAAGGTGAGACTCCCGGCCTTGGGGCTTTTCTTGTTCCTGATGGGGCTGGATGGGTGAGCCCTGTACTATCTTCCCACGGCTGCGGGGCTCTGGGTGCACCAAGTCAGACTGGGAAAACCCAGTTAGGATGACCTCCTGCAGCAGAGAGATGCCATCTTGGACTGAAGTTCAAAGAGGGGTTCATCTTTATGTCTTGACCTTGTCAAGCACTCAGACCAGGCCACTGATGAAGACAACTGGGAACTGTCATAATGTTGGAGCGTTGGGTGCCTTTCTCTTACCTGGTGGGAGCTCGCCCCATATCTCCCTGCCTGTCACCCCCAGAATATCCTGATTTTATGTCTGCTGATAACCCTTTGGGCTTCGCCCTGAGTAGGTTCTGGAAGATTCTGGCTGATGGGGGTACCAGGCCCACCGAGGGCTGCGTATCTCCCTTTCCCCACTCTGCCGAGGTGGAGGATGCCCACGTCCTCTCCCACCCCAAGCTAAACCCCTCTTTTGTGACCCAGCCAAGCCTGGAATTCTCCCTCTGGCTTGTTTCCCAGGACTCCCTGACAGTGGCCTGGTGGCTTCAAAGCTCAGAGCAGCCGCCAGCTTGAAGACAACTCCATCTCTGCAGATTCCTCTTCCTTTTTTATTGCAAATTCATTTGTTAAAAAAAATAAAGCCTTTGTCCGGGGATACAGGGATGGGGGATTCTGGCGAGGGGCAGATGGATCCCCACTGAAAGGCTTAGGGAGGGTCTCCTCCAAGGGGACTATTTTATTGCAAATTCATTTGTTAAAAAAAATAAAGCCTTTGTCCGGGGATACAGGGATGGGGGATGCTGGCGAGGGGCAGATGGATCCCCACTGAAAGGCTTAGGGAGGGTCTCCTCCAAGGGGACTATTTTCCCCAGCTCCTCATCAGAAATGCTAAGACACAGAGGCCAGGGGTTGTCAGTTCCTTATGGCCAGACTGACATAGCTATTCTGGGAGGGGTGGGCACCATTAGCATTTCTCTAACCCAAGGCCTGAGACCCAGGGGACTGACTGCCTTAGAAAAACTCCAGTTGGAGCTGGAGAGGGAGGGGACAGTGACTTCTCAGGGAGGTAGAATAATCTTCCCAAGGTTCTGCCTTGCTAGCTGGTGGGGTTTGGGGTCTGGTCAGTTCCCCCTTTGTCTTGGAGCATCTCCGTCTTCTACCTCCATGCACAGATGGGGGGACTTCATCCGCCCTCTCCTCCCACCCTCCCCATCCCCTCAGCTGGCAGACACAGACAAGGGTACTTTTCGGCCAGGTGAAGGGTGGGCAGGAGGAGCACTGGGCTGAATTCTGGTCCGGCTTCTCCCCTGACTTACTGTGTGATCTCCACCAGTAGCTTTCCGTCTCTGGGCCTCATTTCCTTGTCTCCGCCATGACAGAATCTCAAGTCACTCCCAGTTTAGGAGTTCTGAGGCCTGTGATGCTGGAGCCAGTCTGCCTGGGTTCAAATCCCAGCTGTGGCCCTGAGCAAGTCACTTTACTGCTCTGAGCCTCAGTTTCCTCACCTATAACGTGTGTGTGTGGATGGGTGGTGCGGGGGTAGGATGCTAAATACCTCTCTGGTGGGCTCTGTAGGGGAAGGAACCTTCGTAGGTTCAATAGCTGGGTCTATGAAATAAACTGGCAACTGGGGGGCTTGTTAGAGCATGGTGCTGATAACACCAAGGTCCGGGGTATGATCCCTGTGCTGCAGCCAACAAAACAAAACCAAAAACCGGCAACTGGCAGATTAACAGGAGAAAAGAAAGACAGATTTATTACAAGCACGGGGGCATCACTGGAGAAATAAAAGCAGTGAGATTTGGGAGCTTACATACGGTCTTAACACGGGAAGGAGAGGGGGATATAGGGAACTTAGGGGAGAGTAAATGATTTTTAGGAAAGACGAGTGGGCCCTTAGAAGAATGGCTGGGAGAGATGATGGTTTGTGTGTGACAAAGTGCGTCCGCGTGTGGTGTCAACTTCCAGCCTGCTCCTGCGATGAGAGTCACTCTCCCCTGGTTGATGAAGTCCTGGGGAGGGGACTGATGGCAGTTGGGGACCTTTTGGAGGATCTGTCTTTGGACCGATGAGGGCAGTTCAGAGAAAGCTTCTCCCTGCATTTGCTGTATGATTTTATTTGTTGTTTGGTGGCTGGCCATCCGAACTCTTGACCTTGGTGTTATCCACATCAGCTCTAACCATCGCGCAACCGGCCAGCTCTGTGTTTGCTACTTTTCAAGTGCCTTCAGTTCCAAATAATCGATAT